ATTTTGAATTATTTTTAGGTAACATTTTTATTTAAGTCATTTTCAAAAATAGGAAATACATTTCTTTATTTACTTCAGATTTTAAAGCTTAATAAATGACTTCATTTATGCATATTTAAATTTACAACATTTTTATCCATAAAGTTTTTGCTTTGATTTTTTCCATTTTGCATTTGCAGAAATATTACACTTATTTGTTATTAATTTATTTTACTTTGTACTGACTTGTTTGTTCTTTTTATACCAAATAAGAATAAACAAAAGATTTTCCACATTATATCTTTAAAAACCCACATCAAAATGAAGTCATAAAATGGACAGCAGCTCGATAGGAGGCTCCACTGTGCCCATAGAATTACATATAGCTGCCAATGGTCTGTGGGCGCCAGTTGAACGTCTGCGTTAAGATATTATTAATGTGCTTGTTAGCATTGGCCGCTGTAACTGGCCCGCTGTCCAAGTGGCATGAATTATGTGCGCTTTTTGCGCCCGTTGCCATCACAATTAACCGTAAGTGAGGAGGCGGAGTAGCAGTTGGAATTGGAGTTATGGTTGGAGTTGGAGTTGGAGTCCTTCAGACAGGCCATCATCCTTGGCCAAAGGATAATGACATTCGCAGTTATAATCCGGCATTGTTCAAGTGGCCAACTGTCGGTTGACTTTGGAGTGCAGCAAGTGGACTTTAGGCAAACAATTGATGGAAGGGCTTGCTGTCAATGGATAAATCCCCCTGATCTGTAACGCCCCCTCCCCCTTCCCCTTTCCCCCTTACTTTCCCCTTTCTCCTTGGCAATTAACGGAATGTAATCTCTCAGTAGATTAAATGCATTTATGGGGATTCAATTCAATTGTCTTCTGCACTGCAACAAGAAATCATTGCTTATATGCGTGGTTGCTGCTTAATTGACTTCAGGTTTCGGCAACACAATCCTGATGTAGTTTAATGTTTTTCCGTTACTGTTTTTACACTGTTTACTAATTGGAAATTTGGCAAAACAATGGGAATTATCAGGAAGTTAATTGGGTTTAGGCTTAGGAAGCCAAGGTATTGAAAAGCCATAAAGCAAACTCAATTTGAAGCTGAAAATACATTTAATCAGCTTTAGAAGGGGTTATATCAAAGAAGTTGATTTTCTGAAGTTGATGTCTTAATAATGTTTAAATAGAAATCACAGCCGACATACTCTTAAGAGTTCATATGCTGAAAATAAGAAAACGCAAATAATTAAATCCTTTCCTTTTCTTTTACTTACCCTCCTTTCCTTATTTGCTGATGATATTTTCGCTGCCATTTTTCCATAGATTAATCAGACCGACAATTGAATTTTTCGGGCAGGGCAAAATGCTCGATAGTTGGCCATTGTACTGAGAAATCCAATTAGTGCTGGCGGCCAAGGATGTGTGCACCGACCAAGACCTCCGCCCAAGACCCCCAAAAAACCCACAAAAACCCCCCGAAAACCCGGCGGATAATAAGCAGCTTAAGCTCCGGCAGTCCGGCTGCGAATGCTGAACTCCGCAGTCCGGAGTCCGGAGTCCGGAGTCCTTAGTACCGTATTCGATAGTACGTTTTCCGGGCGAAACGAATGTGGGTGGAAAACTTGTTAACGCCAAATTCGAAGCTGGAAAAGCTGGAGAAAGAAAAAAAAAGGGAGCGAGCGAGCGAGCGAGCAGCGAGCATTATACAGATTGAATTGAGACGTTGGGCGATGGAGATTTCCCCCAGGTATCCAAAGGAGGAGCAGACGGAGCAAACGGCAGACGGGAGGAGCTCCACTTCGATATTGGCAAGCAGCAAGATGCTCAGCCATTGTGTAAGCCAAAAATGGCAGCTCTCGATATGATAATGATACAATTTCGATGAAGCTTAACAGGGATTAGGCAGCGCCAGCAGAAGATACACACACACACTCGCATAGAGAATAAGATACACAGATACACACTATATAAGCGAAGGATGAACGATGATGGCAACTAATTGGCCAAGAGTTCGTTCATCTGGCTCCCATTTCCAGTCTCTGGCTTTTCCCCCACTTTTCCCCGCTTTCCCCTGCTTTTGCCCACTAACCAAGTGGCAATCAACCATAATGCCAGCCCGTTGCAAGTGACAATTTATTAATAAACAGCAGAAACAAGAGCCCAGGACGTTGGCAAAAGGAGCGACTGTCAATTACCAGTCGGGGCTATAAATTGCATGTCAGTTGCTGGGGAACTGGGAAGCTGGAAAACTGGGAAACTCCCTTACCAATATACCCAATGCTCCCCGAATCGAAGGGAGTGCGCTGCGTTTAATGGGCCCGATAAATTCCACAGGCTGTCAGGGGGGCCAAAAAGGATGGGGACAAGGATGTGGACAGGGATATGTAGATGGAGATGGAGATGGAGTTCGATATGGAGCCGAATCTCTGCAAGGAGCGGATGTTCGTTCACCTATCGATTGACAAACGGCAGTTGAGGAAGACTAACGATCCATTGATCTGCCATCAATCGCTGGACTTCGCATTTTATTTTTATTAACTAGGAATTGGGTTCAAGAAGCTAAGTTTATTGCCCTTTTGTGGGTACAGCTTTGGGTTTTCAAAAAGATATAATGTAAATTTCAATACAGTTTACAATATCATAATAATCAATACATAAATGTAACAAAGTGTTTAATAAAAAATTCATTTTTTGATTTATACAATAAATTCGATAAAGATATATAACACAATTGAGGAATTTAGGGATTTTTATCTTAAAAATAAATAAGGGAAAGGGATGTAATGAAAAGGATGCCATCAATGATTTTTTAAGAAATACAAATTGAAAGTGCTTCCGTTATAAGTTAAGAGCGCCATAGATAAAAAAAAAGAAAAAACAAGATGGCAGGGGGCCTCAAAAGCAATTCGTGGAAGTAGCCATTCAATTTGCGGAAATTGAGCGACGCTGAGCCCAGTGTGACCAGGCCACTCAGTGCGGCAGCAGACAGCGTGGCCAGCGTCAGAGGACAAACACAATCAAAGCCCAAGCGCCAAATGCGAAATCAAATTAAGCAAAGTGCGCAAACATTGATAAGGCAGTCGGGCAGATTGAGGACTTTGCAGCCCGTGGCCTCCGACTGCAGCCGCATTTCGAACCGAATGCAGCCGGAAAACTCGCAGGACGAAGAAAAGTCAGGTCTGCGGGCAAACAGGGTCGCGGAAAGCAAAGGGAAAGCGATGGGAAGGCGGAGGGAAAGGGGGAGTGGTAGGAGCCACAACCGCAACCGACAAAGGGAAAGTGGCGGGGCGTACGGGTTCTTTGGGTTGTCAACTGTAAAGTAGGGTAGATTACATTGCTTTGAATGATGCCACCAGCCAAGGAGCGAAGATTCCGGAAAATGCCAACCGGAATGAGGGGGAAAATGATCTGAAGACTCGACCTCTTCGATGCCTATTGTCCATAATCAATCGATGTCATTTGACAGATAGCTTTGTGGTCTCGTATTCAAATTCATTTTATTTTATAGAAATCCTTTTTATTTCATTTAATCTTTAATCGGTCTGTGTCCCATTAGATATACCCCTTTTGAAAATACGAGATAGTGCTGCTGGTCGTGGCGCCAGTCCAAAGAAAAATCAACAGAGAAAGGAAACAGTCGAAAGGAAGGGTGAACGGAAGAAAGGCGAAGGGGAAAGTAGTGTAAGAATGGCAAGACATCGTCTTTCGAATAGACAAAACCAAAGGACAACGCACAACTAGCTGCAACAAAAAAAAAAAAAAAGAATGAACTAGAGGTTGGCTTCTCACAATCGAATTCCTAACTACACTCGCCAGTTGTTGAGTTCAAATCAATATAAAATGGGATTTGTAATGAAGTAAGATTAAAAAATAATATAACACCTTTTATCTATTACATATAAATTCAAGGGAAAGTATTATTCAATTATTAGTTATATTAAATTCTATATACAAGTATGATTTTTTATACCTAACCCAAGTATTTTTTGGTACTTTCAGAGCATTAAACAATCGTCTTGTTCAAAGGAAACGGATACGTTTTGGTGACATTCTCCGGAGTCTGCTGCTTCGGACCCGGACTTGCACTGGCCCAGTAACTCGAGTAATTGGTAGCACGACCGCCCCCGTTCCGCTACTGCCCCTTCACCCCTCACCCCCTGTATTGAAGTCACTCCCCCCTCTTGGCCACACCCCTGACAGCCCGTCGTCATTGCCATTGCTCATCTTCAGCACTGTGTGGCCCGCAAATGTGTCTTTGTCAGTGCGTCAGTGGAGCGTGCCGCGTTGCAGTGCCAGGAGGTCACCCCAGCGTTCGGGGAGGTCACCACCCCAACACCACCCACACACCACTGAACCACACACACACACTCACACACACACAGACACCATTGAAGCACCCATCCCCCCATCGTCACCACACATCTGTGTGGGTTGCACGCAAATGCTTTGGCATATCAAAAGTGAAACTTTGACATATAATTTCTCGCATGGATTTTCACTTTGACGGCATAAACGACGACAATGGCACATGCCTTTTGTTAAGCCCGGCAAATGAAAAGGGGAATCCGAATGGGAATCCGAATGGGGATGCGGATGGGGATACGGATCTGGATCTGAATTCGAATCCGGCCTAAACTTGCCTCTTTGGACGGACGGGTTGAGCGAGCAATCCGTAAGATTGTGCTGGCAACGCCTTCCTTTGGGTGGCGATACCATCCATCGGCATCAGCATTGGCATCGGCATCATCAATTCAAACGGCTGGAGCTGCCTTCCCGTTGTCATCCGAATTGATGGGCAGCCAGCCAGGTGGCAATCTCTGCCCAGCGAATGGAATGGATATGGTTAAGTGTGCCAACGATGGGTTGCTTTCGGCTTGCCACTGCAAGTGCCTTCGTGTTTCCCCTTCAAACCCCCGAAAATGCTGCACTCCCGAATGCCAAGCTGGTTTTTTGAGGCCCATCGCGTTAATAGTGTTAGCCAAGAAATTAAGTAAAGGTTTAAGTAAAAAAAAAACAAAATATTAAAGGTTCAGTTTAGTGATCAATTCTTACATATCACATGTTTTTTATTTAATTTGCGCTGAGCACATTTATAGGTGAATAAAGATAATGTTCTGAATGATTCGTTTAAATATTAGGTACATTAGGATGGTATCGTGAATAATATTCTGAATGACTTCTTTGAGAATCAGTATGGTTCATAGGGTTCATATGGTTCTTCTCCGTCGGATGGATCCTCAGGATTCTCATTGTTTTCAGGTACAAACTTCTTATAAGACTCTTTAAATGCAGTCTGTTTAGCCTCAAATATCTTCTTTTTGTTCTTCTTAACCTTTTTGGTTTTCTTATTAAGTGCGCCTTTTACTGTCTTTTCCTCTTTATCTTTCTTAAAAGACATTCCCTCATGGATATATTTTAGATCCTCGTCGCTCCAAACTTCATTCTGTTGCACTTCTTTATAGCGCTTAAGTAATTCGGCAAATATCCGAACAATGGGAAGAAAATAGGGATCGTCGGGTCCGTTAAATAACCTCAAAATCAGCTGAAAATAATGTCGGCTGCAGCAATTTGGGACAAGAAACTTGCGATACTTCTGTCCATTCTGTAGTAAATCAAAGCAATTATTATTATGTGACTTTAGGGATCTATAAAAGCTCACCTTCTTAACGTAAGTTATATGAGAAGACATCGGATCTCCCATATTTTTGCAGGCTTTTTTCGGAGGATTGTTCATTTTTTCTACGGAATATGATTAGCGATGGGGGAATATTTATTCACTGCATAACAAAATATATCGATAGTGTCACGCACCAGTGTTGTAAGTTAAACAATTTTTCCGTAATTATTGTTCGTTAGTGTTTCTATGTAATTTGTTTTCTTTTGCTCTTTAACTTTAAAATTTAAAATATGAATGACTTGGCTGCAAGCTGATAGAACGAAAATAAACATCTCCTGTCATGTGAGCTTCCATCTGCCAGAAATGCACAATAACCAATTCCCTTTTTCTCCAACACTTTCCATCAACCCCCACTCCCCCAAAAAAAGCCTTCCCCTCCCATTGTTTTTGGCTGTTGCCTCCGCCTGAGTTCTTCGGTTTTTGTATGGAAATTTAGAAATTATGTTTTCTTGTCTTTTAATTAATAATCTCAAGGGTGTTTTGGCCTGTCCTGGCCATGGCTTATAGCTGAAGAAGATGGAGTTTGTTTGGATTTGCGTGGGTGTGAGTGTCTGTGTGGGTGTGTGTTGCTGCAGAGCAACGGGGCGTATGAGTAACATGCTAAGGCAATATATGTTTCTGTGGATTCCTCCCAGCAGGCAGCTGGTGTTGCTCAAATTGTAGACAACTCCCCCGCTTTGCCACCCACTTTTCCCGCTTCTCTGGAGTAACTTTTATGGCTTGTTTTTACTGTACGAGTGTGTACGAGTGTATATATATATGTGTGTGTGTGTGTGTGTTTGGCTTGACAATGTGATTTACATTTAATTAAAATCGTATTTACTCGTTAGATAAACAAACACACAACTCGGGCAACCCGCCAGCCTGCTCAGTCGCATCATTAGGCACTCGGAGGAGCTCTCGAATGCCAAGTGGCAAGTAGCAAGTAGCAAGTGGCATTGGCACTGCGAAAATTTCGCCTGGCGTTGAGTTGGGTTATTCGGGGGGGAGGGAGGAGGGGAAATGGGGAAAATTCGGCTGGCAGCGATGTCTCAGGTGTTGGCCTGCCACTTGGATGTCGGCGTTGTGTTGACGTTGACAGGGCGACATGTCAAAAATAACTCGGTGCCATCGATCGCCGAAGGCGGTCCAAAAATAAAGCACTCTATCTTATGGCCAAAAAGGAAACAAGAGGCCCAATAGGACAGCCAGCCAGAATGGAAAATCTTGAGGAGTAACAAATGGCGCCGTTTTTATTGAGTCGAAATAGAAGCCCCAAAGAAAATTCAATAAAGGACTTTCTTTGTATTTAAAGCTCAAAGAAATTAGCTAAATATATGTATAAACATAAATTATATATCTATAGATATTATTAGCATATCTATAGACATATCAGCACTTTATCAATCAAACTTTTTTACATTTTTACATTTTCTCCTTACATTTCAAATAAATTTTGAGTTGTTATATTAAACTCATTGATTGACGGCTGAATTTATGTATTCACAAGTTCGAATTTCAATTAGCAAAAAACCTAATTGGTTTCGGTATATTGAAAAAGTTTAAACCAACTGATGTATTATTCAACGCTGAGGGATATTTCGTGTTTTCCGGGCTATTCGAAAGCAAATCAACTTGTCAATCGCTGCTGACATCGACATTAATTGCAGGAAGTCCTTCGTAAATTAGTGCCAACCTCTGTGCAGCTTTTGCCTTTAAAAGAAACCTCCAATCATGTTGCATTCAACAGCACAAGTTGTCCTCTTTTTTGCCCACCACCATCACCAACACCACCACCACCACCACCAGCACCAGAACCACTGGCAGCAGCACCACTCCGTTGCCCATTCTTTTCCGCCTCTTGTTTTGACTTGATGACCAAGTTAAACAAACACACGCCACACAAACATGACCCGGGTCGTCCGGCAATCGGAATGGGATTCAGAATGGGAATGGGAATGGAATTGGGATGGAGAAGGGGAGTGGGGATTGGGGATTGGGGATCGGGATGGGAACCGAAATGGGGATTGGAAGTGGAAAGTGGGGAGGTGGGGAGGTGGGGAATAGGGTTTGTTGCAGCCGTGTCCAATTTGCATGGCCATTGTGAACCGGCTGGGAGGGTGGGGAATCCTCCGGAATCCCCGGAATCCCCAGAACCACCGGAACCCCCGCATCGCCCCACCATCACGCCCTCCAACCGCACCACAAATGAACAGGAGTGGGCAGCCGGGAATGGAATGGAATGCAGCACATTTCCGGCATTTATCAATGGTCATTTCGTGTGTCAGCTTTGAAATAATTTCAGTTGACGGAAACGAAACTATTCAAGTGTGACCTAAAGCCCACAAAAATTATGCAATCATTACCATTCCGTTTCATATATGTGTACAAATATATATGTACATGTGTATGCAATTGTGTGCGTTTTCATAGGAAACTTTAAAAGGAAGATTATGGTTTAATTTTTTTACCCCTGTTCATCAGATTTTCCAAGTTTTCAATGGTTTTCAGCATAGTGACCGAAAACTGAACTTCCAGAACACACAAATTTGCCAATTTTAATCCGATTCCAAAGTGGAATCGCATCCTTGATAAAACTGCGTTAAATATATAAAATTCTTTAAAATATTTTTATTTATTATTAATAGCTTGTAACTTCTAGTAATCAATACTTTTTGAAAGCAATGAATATAAAATCATCGCTTATAGGACTTCTTTCTTTTGGAAACCAGCTTCCACAGTAAATTTTCAGAGTTTTCACAGTGACTGTTCCGAAGATAACTCCTTGTTGCTTAATCAATTTCACTGGTTCGAACTTCTCACTTCTTCTTCATTTCCCATTCGCTCGAGTTGCCACCCGTTTCGTCTCCGATTTTCCGGGCGGAAAATAGGGGGGCGGGCCAAGGGACCGCTTGTAAAACAATGACAAGGACAAATTCGTGCGATAGGCAAACAGCAGGGAAAGGCAGTGTTGGCATGGGGCTTATTGCCAAAGGGGGTCGTAGTGTCAATACAAATATAAATCAATGTTCGGGCCGAAAGCTCGAAAGAGCGGCAAAAAGGTAACATGCCTAAGCAGTTGTTGCTTTTGTTCTTGTTTTTGTTTTTGTTTTTGTTTTTGCTTCTACTGTTACTGTTGTTGTTGTTGTTATCGCTGTTGCTGTTGCCTTGTCATTGCCGGCAATCAATTTTAACCAGCAGCCAGTTGGTGTGGACCCGGCTGAAATGTATTCATCATGTTAACAAAAACTTCAGTTCTGCTTGGCATACTTCAAGTCGGCATCCTCCTAATTGGTTTGCCAGTTATGGAAACGCCAAGGTGTGAAGACAAATCAGGTTCGATGGCAAATCCATGGACACTCCGCAAAATGGAGCAAATGAATGAAGCAAATGAAAAACAAAGACCAGCTGAGATTTTTACTATAAACCCCACAGACGCGTGGAAAAAAACCAAAAACAAGAAAATAAAACGAAAAAAGAGTGAAGGGAACTTAAAAACTTTCTAGAATTTCATTTAATTTGCAGTTCCGCAGGGAACTCTCCGTCCCCTTCTGTCGCCCACTATTGCCGTCCCTCTTCTACCGCTTGACAGCTAACGTGTTGTGTAATTAGTGCGAGTGGGAGGACCCAGGGCCAAGTGGAAGGGGGGACAGAGTAGTAGGCCGCGCAAAAAAGTTCGCAGACTTTTTTTGTTTTTGTTTATTTCTATTTTTGCACTCGGGCTTTACAGTTTCTTATGCTCCCCAGTTGCTGGTTTTCTTTTTGTTGTTTTTTTTTTTTTTTTTTTTTTTGTTGTTCCGCTAGAATTTGTTCAATTTAATGTAACATGGAGGACGAAACACAAAAAGCTGAAACTAGGAGAAAATGGGAATGGGAAGGGGAAGGGGAGGTGGAAACACAACATGGAAAACTGAAAAGTTTGCGGTGACGTCGGGAAAATTCCATTCACGGCACTGCGAACACACAGCCTTTAAGCGACTTTAAGGTTTCCCCGAGTATTTGGAAAAAGAGAAACGAAATGAGTGCGGAAAATAGTAAGGCGATTACAAGGGCAAACGTCCCCTGGAAATCAAATCAAACATCTTGCGAGGACCTAAGAGGCAACTATTAAAGGATCACAAAAGAAAGTTCATTCAGGCACTTCTAAGGATTTTATTTTCAGTAGCAGTTCGTTTTTTTCGGTTGATACTGTTTGGTTTTTTTCTGCTTTTGCTTAATTTTGATATTCCTTTTGATTTGGAAAAGTAACGATATATAATCCCTTTAATATATACACATATGTTTATATATGTTAATATTTATTGGATATAAAATAAAACAGTAAAAATGGATTTGGATTTAATTATCGAATATTTTAATGATGCCACGTTTGTTACAATACTATTTATTTGAACATTTAATTAATTTATTTACTGGAAACACCAAACAAAAACATATCATTTTATGCTTAAGGCAACAATGCCATTTTAATATAACAACCCAAACAGAATCGGAATCAAACAAACGTCAACGAAACTGGGCAACTGTAACACTTGGATTTAGGAAAGGGATGGGAACTGCATCTCATCATCGACCTTTGGGCAGAACTTGGGGTCCTCGGAAATCTTCAGAACGGGACGATTCTCGAAGTAGCGAGCGCGGTAACTGAAGTTCAACTGGATGTCAGCTGGCTGCAACTTGCGACCAGCTTTTTGTCCGGCGGCATCGCATTCTGGTTTCCCGCCGAGAGATTCTGGACCCTTCATTTCGGCCTCCTTCTCATTCTTCTGTATGATCTTCTCCACACTCTTTTTCTTATTTTTATCCATATTTTTCTCCATGTTCTTCTCCACACTATTCTTTACATTCTTATTATCAGTATTCTCTGCGTTCTTCTCGGCATCCTCTACATTCTTCTCCACGTTCTTCTCCTGAAGTGGCTTCTTCGTTTGGGACTTGGCCTGCATGGCACGCCATTCGTCGAGGGTCATTTGCTTTGGTTCCTTCGGCACTTCCTTGGCATCCTTGACTTCCTTTACTTCGCTGACTTCCTTTACTTCCTTCGAACGAGTGAACCCATTGCCGTTGGACTTGTTTAGGTCAAAAGGTCGCGGATTGACCATCTTGCGGAACTCGATATCGGGTTTTGGGGTTCCCGGACGTTGAACGGCGGTGCGTTTGACCACTGGCAATGGAGTGGTGCGATAGGATCGTGTGAAGATCCTGGTACCAAAAAAGAAACGACCTTCATTTTGTGCTTGTCCTTGTCCTTGACCTTGACCTTGGCTATGTCCTCGCCCTTGTCCTTGACCTTGGCTTTGTACCTGTCCTTGTCCTTGACCTTGGCTTTGTCCTTGTCCTTGGAATTGTCCTTTTGCTTGTCCTTGCCCTTGATCTTGGCTATGTCCTTGTAGCTGACCCTGACATTCTGCTTGGCCTTGGCGTTCTTCTTGAACTTTTCCTTGACCTTCTAATGTAAATTTTCCTTGACCTTCTAATGTAACTTTTCCCTGACCTTTTAATATAACTTTTTGTTGTCCCTCTCCTTTAACTTGTCCCTGTCCTTTTCCCTGGCCTTTATCTTCTGCTAAGCGTTGACCCTTTCCTGAAAATTTAACTTGATCTTTACCTTGACCTTGATTTGGAGTCTTTCCTTTTCCTTGACCAGCGCCTTGTTCTTTAATTACCGTAGACGAAGCCTTCTTCTGCTTATCCTTCTTTGAAGCCACGCCCGTTTTCTCCAAATTTGGTGCTTTCTGCGCCTTCTGTGCTGTCTTCTTGAGAACTGGCTGCAGAAGAGCCTTCTCAGCCGCCTTCTTGTCCTTGCTAAGGCTCAATGACGTCATTTCCAACTCATCGTCGTCGAGGCAAAGCAACTGGAAGCGATTGCCGCGATTGTAATCCATTTTGTTCAAAATCAAAGTATCAGATATTTTTCAGTTTTTTTTTTTTTTAGTATTTATCGAAAGTATGAAGTGAACTCTCGGAAATGTGGAGGTTGAATGAGATACGATGAAAACTGAAATGACAACCAGAACCAGCCAGCTCAAATTAGTTCTCCAGGATTGCTTTTCAAACTAAATAAGAGCAGCTGACCCTTTTGTTATGAACCACGTGCATCGCATTTCATGACACTGGAAAATTAATCGGTTAATATAGAGCGGAGCATAATTAATTTCTGAGAATTGTATTTAGTTGTTTTCATTTTATATAAAACAATACTTTTTGTATACGTTTCATTATTTGATTTGAAAAGGAAATTTCGCAAACCTATTTATTAAATATTTTCTTGTTGTGAACCAAATAACAATATAATACATACAGAGATTTTAATTGTGATTCTGGTTGGTGCTTGTGCCTCTGTCCTCTGGTTTATATTGAAAAGTTATGTAAGATTTCCATGGGATTTCCATGGTTGCGTAGCTTTTCCCTCCAGCGTCCAGCGTGCAGCGCCCAACTTAATTTTCCGGCATTATTATTTATAACTTTATTTGTTTGCTTATTTGCCCGAGCCGAGTGGCTCATTCCACTGCATTCGGTCAGCTCCACTTTCTGGTGGCTCCTTTATTTCTGGTGGCTCCTCATTTCTGGTGGCTCCTTTGTGTCTCTGGAGTGGCCAGCAGTTGGGATTCTTGACCATCAAGTTTTGTGTTTTGTCATAAGTCATGTGTCTGCTGCTCCTTCTCCTTTCTCATTTTTGCCCCGGCACAAAGTTGTGTACTTATGAAAATTAGTTTCTGCTTCTGCTTCTTCTGATGCTGCTGCTGCTGCTGCTGCTGCTGTGTTACCACTACCACTGCCATTACCACTACCACTACAACTTCTACTACTATTTTTCATAATTAAAGTGCAAATAAAAAACTAACTGGCGAACAAACAATCGCAATTAACTGTTGTTGCTGGGCTCTCCTGTTGATGCCGCTGTTATTGCTTTATGTTTGCACTCGCATTTATATGTTTTTCTTCATCTGAGCCATATTCTCGTTGTTTTTTTTTTGTTTTTTGTTTCTTGTTTTTTTCCGCTTGTGCCGCTGCTGTGCGAGAACATAATTCACTTTTTATTATCTCATATTTTATAGAAAGTTCCAGCGAAATAGGGGTGGAGGTGGTGATATAACCCGTATACATATATATATTCATATATAAACAAGCGTATATATTATGCAAAGGATGTAAGCCGCTCTCTGTGTCGTTTAATTCATTTAGTTTATGCTTTTAGCGCTTTATTTGCTTAACTGCAGTTTGCATGTGTGCTTAAGTATGCCTCTGTGTGTGTGTGTGTGTGCGGGAGTGTGAGCATAATTGCAGCACACACACGCACTGGATTTTGCAATTACTCCGCTTGACAAACAGCAACAGCAACAACAACAACAACAAAAACAGAAGCCACCACAAGGAGCCGCAGCGCACAGAGAAATTAATCAAAATATGAACAATTCAAGCTCACCCCCCCTTTTTGCAAAAACGCACACACCCACACTTAGTCTCACACACACATGGATAGCATCCCCCTTTTGAACAGAGGCAGTGGAAAACCGCAGATGCTGCCATTGACAACGCATCGCTGCACTCTGCATTCTCCGGCATCCTTTTGCCTGTTTGCCAAATACCAGCAAATTTCCCGTTTAAGCCAAGTGCAAACATTTTAGCGAACGGCATGCAAACAAAAGACGCCGTCGCCATCGCCATCGCCGCCTTTCTCTATCGATTTCATTTGGCAACCGAACAACCGAAACAACCAAAACAACCAAACAACTGAACAACAGACCAAACGTCCAACAACACAAAATCAGCAACTAAAATCAACAAATTTCATAACTATTTAGGCATTTCGTGTGCATTTCGTTTTGATTAAAAATAAAGCCGCAACTCGACAGAGCTTACGTAATTTATGTGAAAATTGTTTTGTTTGCAGTCATCTCGGCAATTAATAAACAATATGCCAAGTGAACTTAAAATGCAAATAAAAATTATAAAAGTTGTAAAGTTCGTTTTGAGACTCATATGAATAACAGTTTCACTTCAATCATCGATTTAATTTTAGTTTTATCCCAAACAATTAATAGGCGAATTTCACATGTTTTAACACATTGGACATTTCATCTGCATATAGCTTCAAAAAAAAAAAAAAAAAAAATAAAAATACATATATATTACTTTGTATATTTATTCAACTTCACTAATGAATCAATTACAAAATTCATTTTAAATAGTTTGCTATTGCTCTCTTTTCTTGTTAACTAAAAAGTTTTAATTAGAATAATAAGGCTTGCTTGTATTATTTTTGTGCTTTCAAAAGTTTTCAAGTAGGTATAGTAGTCATAAGCACTCGGATTTAATACATATTTAATGCGAACATTCTGAACATTTTCCAGCTAATAGAACAAGAGAAACATATTTTTTAATAGTTGCAGACGAGCATTTATTGGGCATTTCGGTTTATTTTCTTCCTGGGAACGATCGAAATGAAAACCAAGCAAGTTGCTCACACAATCGTAATTGTTACAGCTGCTTGGGAAACTTTTTGTAGGCTTCTATGTTATTTTTTTTTATTTTATTTTAATTTTTATTGTGCGTCTGGCTTCGTACTCCTAAACGTATACGCAATTTTTTATGAGCTCTGCTGAATGTGTGGGTGTGGGTGTGCGTATATGTACATTTTCCTTATTTTTTCTTCAGTTTTTTTTTTTTTTGTGTGTGGGTGGGTGGGTGGCTTCTATTTATGCTCTTGTAGGTCCAAAGTCAGCTTCCTTTTTCTGCGATTTCGCTTTTCGATTTGCCATTTCGAATTCACTTCATTGAATTGTTAATTTTATCGCTCGCCAAGGAACACACACATACACTAACACACTCACACACACAGACATACAGACACACTGACATTCGACTGGGGGGCCATTGCATAACTTTGATTTTCCTCTTCATTCTTTATTGTCATTGCCTCTGCCAGCCGCTTTTATTTGTGGTTATTACACAAAAGTGGGCGGGGCACTTGCCAGCATCCCCGTATCATTTGCTCATATTAAATTTTATTGCGCGCGGTATTTCCTCATAAACATTTTGTGTTTTCCAGACGCCCCCCCCCCTCTCCTCTTCCCCTCCGCACCCCCGCCCTTTCCCCTTTTCCATGTTTGATTACACAGCGGCGAGGTGAGCGCGTAATGTTTGCCAAGGAGGAGCAGAAGTCATCCGCACGGGTTATAATGGCTGCTGGCTTTTGGCTTATTGCTTGGGGCCCTGGAACTGGCCAGCAAATTGTGGCAATATTACACACAAGTGTGCTGGGATTGGCGGGACTCGAAGGGGGTGGACAGCAGGGGTAAAGGGGATCCTGTGATAGTAGTCCTGACCACTGGTGTTCTGGTTTCGGTTCTGGTCTAGGCATCAAAGAACATCGACCGGAAGAAGCGTAAACGGACAGCAGGACTTTGGGCAATAGAAGTTGGTATTCCGTTAAAAGGATATCCTATTTAAACTGCTGGTTGACTAATAAAAACTTGGAAATAAATATAGATAATTGGAAACATGTATGAAATAATCCAATAATCCTTTTAATTTATATAATCCACCAAGGTATTGTAGGTATTATAAAATTGTATTTCAAGCTGTTTTAAAAGAAAGGTTTTACATAAAAATATTAATTTTTAATAAACAAAAAAGACGAGTACACATATGTGTTTGGAAATGAAATTGGTAACTTTTAAATAAAATTTATTTATTTATTTAACGAATGTTTTAGTAATAATTCCTAAACACAAACAACACAGTATTTTAATGCAGATATACCGTTTTATTTGTTGTCCTAATATACCCCTTGCTACCCAGCATTTCTGAAAGTCAGTGAAGATTTCCGGTTTGCCTCAAAGGAGAAATTTGCATTTTTTGCAGTAAATTCAATATTTTCCTTTATGATTTTCCGCCGCTGCCTTCTGCTGCTGTCGTTTTCCCGCTGACTGTCTTTGGCCATATTTCCCCATCCGCTCGCTTTGAGCCAGGATTTCTTCTTTCTTTCTTTCTTTCTTTTTTTTTTCTTTTCTTTTCTTTCTTTTTTTTTTTGGTATTTTTTGCTGGCAGACAGCCACTCGGATTGGCCTCTCGTTTCATGTGCAGAGCTGTGAGTTGTGAGTTCTGCATGTGATATTAAGCCAGGACCAAGTCGAAGACAAACATCGTCTGCCAACAGGACACAGGAAACACAAACAGTGGAAGGGGGCTAGGGGGTTTCCAACTGGTGGGTGGTGGGTGGTGGGTGGTAAAGGACGAGGCAGGACGCGACTGTCATTTGCCTGATAGACGAATGTGAGGAGGCCGCGTCCTTTGGCAAGCGATCCAATCCCCCCCCAAAACATCTCCTCCCTCCATCTGTTTGCAACATCAACGAAATATCCATTCTGACTTCACATTTTCCTTCCAGGGATAATGTTCGTTGGAAGGGAGAAAATGGGGGAGTTGGGGAGGTCCTTTTGTCCTTGGCTTCAAGTGCTTGTGCCTGATTTCGGAAATTGGTTTGCATTAGAAATCACTTAAGCGCATAAAGTGGTCGTGAGTTATTGCCGCAGGATGTGCACCAGGACACCCAGGACATCCCAGGACATCCCAGGACACCCATGATGTATGTATGTTGGTAGGCTCCAAGTCCAAGTTATTTTTCCCCTCCATTTCGTTACGCCTTGTTGCAACCATTTTCTGGCTGTGCCAGTTTCTTTTTTTCGGTTTCGGATTTTGGCCCGAACATCAACCCACAACAAATTAATTAGGCTGAGCGGAATCTTCGTGGTGGCTGCCCCAGTTGGACTTTGCTCCACAGGAAAATATAACCTTTATAGATTATCCATTAAAAACTTAAATACTTTTAAAAAATATTTATATTTATTCGATAAAAGTCAACAAAGTTTAAAAGTAGAGA